TTTACAGCCTCGGAAAACCTGTACAGGGTCGCTATGGGTCGGAACTGACTCAATGGCACTTAACAACAACAACCTTAATTGGAGTCCTGGTATGGCGTTGTAGGATAAGCACTGAACCTTGCGGTTCAGTGAAATGCAAGGTTGGCAGTTCAAATTCACCAGCCGCTCCTCGGTAACCCTATACAGGGTCACTATGAGTCACATGAGAACTGACTCCATGACACTTAACAACAACAACCTTAGTTACTGTCAAGTCGATTCCAACTCATGAAGACACATGTGTCAGGGTAAAGCTGTGTTCCATTAATGTTTTTCATTACTGATATTTTTTTTCTGTAAGTAGATTGTCAGACTTTTCGTCTGAGGCACTTGAACCACCAGCCTTTTGGTTAGCAGCAGAGTGTGATGACTGTTTGTATTATCCAGTACTTTAGTACTTAAGGAGCTCTGATAGTATAGTGGTTAAGAATCGGGCTGCGAACCTTAAGGTCAGCAGTTAGAAACTACCAGCTGTTCCATAGGAGAAAGATGAGGCTTTCTGCTCCCATAAATATTTATAGCCTTGGAAACCCTGTACAGGGTCACTATGAGTCGGAACTGACTCCACATCATATAACCACCACCACCACTTTAGTATTTTACACATGTTAATCAATTAAATCTCTTCCCAAAATTCTATGATGTAGTATTATTTCCACATTGTAGCTGTGGAAAGGTTAAGTAACTTGTCCAAAGTTGTGACTAATAAATTCCTGAGGCAGGGTTTGAATGAGTAGTCTGACATACTTATGGGTAACCTATCTTCAGTTTGTCAAAGAATAACTCAGAGACTTTTAGTTTACCTACAGATCTCATAATGTCACCTCAAATAATAAGGGGGATCCATCAATAGATTTACTTCAAACAATGGCCAGAACAACATGTATAATAGCCAAAGAAGAGAAAGTGGGTGAAAAAGCAGACAGGCTGGAACAGGACACTTGATCCTCCCTTTCTGGAGAAACTTCCAGAAGGTCTATGAAAGATCTCTAGGAGTAATATTTGCTGCAGTTTCTCCATTCAGTCAGGATTGCACCATTTCCCTCTTCACAAGTCCTCTGACTCCTCAACTCACACTAACAGAACCGTCTATAGAGTCCAAATACACTGCAGGGAGTGGGCATGCTTAGATGCACCTGAATGTCTGTTCTAGTCTGCTTTTCAGATGAGCAGGCCCTCTGGGATAAACCAACAGCTCTGAGCAGACCAGAGGGAGAGGGGAGGAGGAGAAGATGAGAAGGAGCGGGAAGAAGAGTGGGAGGGTGGCGCTTGCTGGAGCACTGCTGTGTTGTGCAGAAACATCATCTCCACCTGTTCCTATTTTCCCCAAACAACCCAGCATTTGGCCTGGAGCAGCCCACCCGCCATGCAGCTGGGCTTTGTCAGTGACTGAAAAGCAGACCTGTGTTTAGAGATGGAGTGTAGGGGGCTGCAGTGGTTGGGGAAAATCATAGAGACACCCTCAAATCCTGATATTCAAGCACTGAGAAGAGGCTGCCAGGACTCCTGAGTCACTCCACAATCCCTCTGTTTTCTCTTTGTCCTAGTCACCCTCTGCCTTACCTAGTGATGTCACTAGGGTTGGGGTCACTCACTTCTTCCTTCCTCCTCCCTTTCCTTCACCACTCAGAGAGCTGAGCTCCTCACCTCCAGGCCCTTGCCCACCCTTTACAGCCCCTCCCCTCTCCCATTGACCAAGATGGAGATCCTCCTCTCAACCCAATGGTGGGCAAAGACACCTGCCCACTCACACCCTGACTGGCAGGTGACTGAGGGGAGGGACATGATGGTGACACAAATCCTATTGTTGCCTCCGCCTTGGCCCCTCCCTCTTTGGCACCAGCCCACCCACCACCTCGGCTGCTACAGACTCTGAGGATATTTTGGTGTCTGCCCCTCTTACTATGTCTGGAGGTATGGTTCACATGCCTAGTAGACCCCTAAGTGACACTGCTGGCTTCACCTAATTTGGACCCTAAACTCTACTCAGAAACTGTTTTCCAAGGTCAGTTCAGGTGGCCCACTCCCTCATTCTCCCTGCCCCCAAATGCCTTACCTTTACCTGCCCTCAGAAGTTAAGCCCCTCCTCTCTCAGGACATCTTAGAGAAGACTTTTCCCAAGAGACCTTTCCCAGTGGTTTGCCCTGTGAAGTGTGTGTGTGTATGTGTGCACTTGCCAAAGACAAGAATGTGCTTCAAGGCCATGTCTCCTCTTCAGGCCTCCTTGGATCCCCCAGCACACAGCA